TAATAAAAAAAAATTGATATTTTGTGTATGAAAGAATAGTAATGTTTACTGATAATCTGCCAAATTTCATTAACATACACTTACTAATTTAAAAGTTATAGCATGAAAACTATAACAAGAACAAAAATAGTTGAGGTCGGTCCCAGGAAACAAGCCCGTTCTGAAAAAGAGTTAACCATTATCAGAAGAGAATAAATTTCATGTAGTGTAACTGTTATTGTAATTGTTATGCTGTAATATTAGTAGAAAATAAGTAACTTTTGTGTAAGTTTATATGATTTTTTTATTTTGTTGAAAGTTTCAAAATACCCTGTCAAATTATACAACTCCTGCATTTTATGAACTTGATTTAAAGTGAAAACTCTTTTTAAATATATAGGGTTACTTTTAAATGAAATTAAAACCTTTTCTCCCCTCTCTTTCTTTTAATATCTGAAGTCATTGATTTTTACTTTGCAGGTGTATTTACTGTTGACTTGGTGAATGACAGTTTGTATGAATGGAATGTTAAGTTGCTTATGGTTGATCCAGATAGTCCCTTACATAATGACTTGGCACAATTGAAGGAGAAAGATGGAAAAGATTATATTCTTCTTAATATTTTGTTTAATGTAAGTATTTCCCCCAAATTTTCTTCCTTTATTATTGTGAAAGGTGCAATATATGTATGTATGTATGTATAAAGGATTTTCTTAGGCACAATTTGTAAGAAATGGTATAATGGAATGTCTGTTTTAACCCTTCATCCACCTGCTTGAGACAGGTAGAACCTTGATTAATGGGCACTGTGCCATTAAGGTTACACCTTTTCAGTCTTTCTTTTTTCTACTATTTGTAACCAAAATATGTCTTGAAGTAATGAGCACCTCATTATTCTGGATTAGGGCAATGTCTTTAGTCTCGTTCTTTATACATGCATTTGATAAAGTTGGCAGTTATCTCAGTATGCCTGTATGATGTACTGCTAAATTCCAAACATCTCGGAAGGATGACCAATATTCAAACACATGCGATGTTTATTGGATCAGCTCTTAACTGTATACCGTAATAAATGTTTTCATAGATTCAAAATGTAGTCTTATTAATCTGCGGAATTCTCATTGTAAACACTGTAGAATACATATGCTGATAAATGCGACATAATGTTCTTAGAGCAGGGGTCAAGTCTGCTTAGTCCTGTGTGCATGCTTTTTTGCTCACAAGAATATAGTAAATATTACAGTGTCATGTAAACAGTCTAATAACCCAAGTGGTGATTTTTGCTTTATTTTCAACAGATTTCTACTTAAGATGTTGACAGTAAAATAAACACAGAAATTAAATGTGAAATGTTCAGCAGTTCAAATTCTGAAGGGAAGTACTTTCAAACTTTGTGACCAATAATAAAGAATAAAGGGGCACAGCTAATCCACCCCTTAAGACCTCCTGTTGACAATGCTCCATGTCATGGCATTGTGCAACTCATGAAAACCTGTGTCCTACATACACCAAACAAAATGAGGGGCCTTAAAATTCAGTAACTTAGTATGGTAAATATGGAATCCAGCCTTGCATGACTACTGTCTGATATTAAGAGCACCTTGTTATAGAGGGCATTTGGATGCAGTCAGAAGGGTGTCCTTAATGTTGGGGATCTGCTGTATATAAAAGACACTTAGCAAGAAAAACCTTATCTCAGACTACTTGCACAATTATGGTAAACAGTTTCTAAAAATTTGAAGGTTGCTTTTAACATTTACATTTTCTGTATTTATTTATGAACATGATAATTGTATGTGACAATTTTTTATGAATTTGTAGTTCAGGTTTAATATTTATTTTAACCCTTAAAACATCCAAATTGTCTACACAAAATGTTTTATTAGTGACATACCTTTTTGACATTCAGTTCCTTGTTAAACCTTTCAGAGAGTAACATTACTCTTATAGCAAAATTTACATTTAAAATTTATTTTTAAAAATTATAATATATTTCAGTAATATTGTGCCAGTTAATAGTGTAGCAATGAATTGTGGACTATAATATATGCCTATAAGGGACTAGACTCAGCTGACCATGATGGTAGGCCATTGTGAATTATAATATATGCCTATAAGGGACTAGACTCAGCTGACCATGATGGTAGGCCATTGTGAATTATAATATATGCCTTTAGGGGACTAGACTCAGCTGACCATGATGGTAGGCCATTGTGAATTATAATTTATGCCTATAGGGGACTAGACTCAGATGACCATGATGGTAGGCCATTGTGAATTATAATGTATGCCTATAGGGGACTAGACTCAGATGACCATGATGGTAGGCCATTGTGAATTATAATATATGCCTATAAGGGACTAGACTCAGATGACCATGATGGTAGGCCATTGTGAATTATAATATATGCCTATAGGGGACTAGACATCGGATGACCATGATGGTA